TATATCTATATATTAATTCTATATTGCATGATTGTTAAGTATATCAATATATTTAGATTTTAGTGAAAATAAGCTATCATATTGTTCTCTTACTGATCTAATAAGTCCTATAGAAAAATAATATAATAAAAATTAATAATACATGCAATTTTTCATTGGTTGATCTCACTTAATTTTTGTGATACAATAACAGCCAATGATAGGATTTTTATCTATGCTATGTTTTTTACCCTTGGTTTGCCTGGGACCTCAATTAGAAGTTTCCGGGGTCCTAGTGTAATTAATGCCGATCATTTCTTAAAATTGAATACCCGCTATGTTCATTTGGAATAAGTTTAATATTAACAAAATATATTTATATTGGGCAAGTTATAATGATGATGATAATAATAATAATTTTATTTTTTTTATTACCAACTTTTATCCATGGCATTATGATTATTGCCACTACCACCATCATCATTACCATCACTACCACCACAACCCTTTAGAGCTTTATTCCGAAATATTCAAACCTTGCTTGATGTACTATGCCTAAGGTCTAACATTAATAAATAAATTTATTTATTGTTAATTATTATTTCTCCGATTCTTTGTATTCATAATTATCAAACAATAAATTAACTATTATTATATTATTTTGAAATTTTGACCATGTAATTTTAAAATTCTAAATAAATTAATAACCTTATAAATCAGTCCTTTATAATTAAAAGCAAAATTTTTCTAACACAACCTTCCAAGTAGTTATAAGCGACTTTGTAGGTAACACTATACATGAAGTCGAAACTATTTCAACCAGTTGCAGATCTGGTCGAAATAGGGTCGAAATAAGGTCGAAACTGATTTTTACTATGTAGTTGCCTCAAGTCGAAACATTTTGACTTTGGGGTTTTAATTTCGACTTCATGTATAGGTAACACTTTGACACAATTATTGCTGCTGAATTTGCTTTAGTCTGCGTACTAGTTGAGCGATAATCTTAAAATAAGTGTGAAGAAAAGAAACGCTTTCAACCTGGCGTAGAATAACCAATATTTAAGCTAGTCTTTTCTTTTAACTGTTGTTAAAAGCCCCAGTCTGGCTCTAAAAAAATTTATTATGGTTGAAAATCGCTTGCTATATGAAAAACGGAGATTTTTTTATTTGAAGTGGACGATAATAATTTTATTCGTGTAACGTTTATATATTGAATGACACTTGATCTGCAATGTCCCGCGACTATTATGCTTGTCTGGTTATGTCCCATATTTAAACCTAGTGATCTGCAAAATTTATCATAATCTGTAAAGTTACACGACACCAATTCATTTATATACTTTAAACCCTTTAGATTATTAAAAAAAAGTCATGGATTTAAATAAAGCAGATGTAGAAGAAGTCAAGGGTATTTCTACCACTCAAAATTCTGTGGAAAACAAAAAAAAACGGAAAAGAAGTCGTTGGGATCAAACCGGCTCTTCAAAAGTTCAAGCAACAACTGAATTTTCTGTTGATTCAGAAATTCGGGGTGTTGCAACTACTAATAGTGGTAGCAATGGTAGTGGTAGTAGTAGTAGTATTGGAACCACAAAAATTTTCGTTTCAACAACAACAACTGATGTCACTCATAGTCCTCCAAATTCAACAGTAAAAACTGATTCCACTCAAATTACTTCACCACAAAATACGCCGGAAAAAAAATTATATGTAAAATATTCTGATACTTATAAACCAGGAATGATACGTGTTGGTTCTAAATGGGTTTATCCCGAAGACGAAATTATAGATGGTGGTACATGGGAACACAAAAAAAGAGCAGAGGAAATGAAGAAAACAGCGGGTAATTAATTGATATATTTCATGTATGAATTCTATTTAACTAGAAAATAGTTTTTTTATTAATTATCATAAATAATTTTATTAAAAAGAACATGCAGCATTGTTGACAGCTCAAGCTGAAGCCAAGCGTGCACATCATATAGCTGACTTTTTGCCTAAAACTGAATTGGTAAAATTTGAGGAAGAAGTCAAAGCCATTAAAACCGGTGGCCCTGCACCACAACATGAAGATTATGCTAGTAATAAGTTAGATCAATCAAACATTGGGTTTAAAATGTTGATGAAGCAAGGGTGGCAGGCAGGATCTGGTTTAGGAAAATCTGGTGAAGGGATTTCTGCTCCTGTTAACAAGTTATGTCGCAATATAGAAGATATATACAGCCCTTATTAATAATTTAGTAATTGAATTTTATTATTGATTTCCAAATATTATTTATTACCATTATTATTGTGATTACTGCTTTATAGAGCTGATACAAGACCAACAAATGCTGGTTTAGGGCAAACAAAACCTGATGATGTTCAAGAAGAAGATGACGAATTTGAAATTTATCGCAAACGAATGATGCTAGCTTATAGGTTTAGACCAAACCCTCTGGTATGTGAAGTTTTCTTTTTTAGAAAATCTACCTAGATATAATTGAAGAAGAATTTTCATTTCTAGATTTTATTATTATTTGTGTTTATGCATTTTTCTTTCTCCTTTTTTTGGGGGAAAGAAAGTATTGATGCACAACTTCATTTTCTGTTTGGTTGCGTCATTACTTGCTATATATGATTTCTTTTTAAAAATTTATTTTATTTTATTGGAAATTGTTGTGCACTACTAACCTCTCGCCCTTCCTAGAACAATCCTCGTCGACCATATTATTGAGAATGTTACTACATAAATATTTAGGGCTTTAAGGCATATTTGCACCTTTTTCGTGTTTCTTTGCATATTTTTGTTTTCATAAATCATTTATAACATTATATACAGTACATCTTTATTATATCGCTTATTATTATTATTATCATCTTTAATATTATTATATATAAAATATATAATTCATTTATTAAAAATCTTATTATGTGGGTTTAGTGAAACAATTAATATTGGTGGTATTTTATATGGGTTATATAATTATGGATTTTATATATAAAATTTATCTCTAAGGAAAGGAAGAAAGAAATTTTTATAGGGCAAATAAAACAAAAAAATTTATATATATATTTTTATTTAAATTAAATAATTTCTTTTATTGCAAACGAAAAATCAAAGTTCAAATACAAGACACACATGATCATCACCAGCCGTTACTATTTTTTTACCATCTCTATTATCAAAATGTATTATTTATTAGTATTATTTTATTTGATTATTAGCATTAGGATAAGAAAATAGATCTATACTTTGACATAACGAATCCTAATATTGTGTCATCATGTCCATGGAAAACTTTCTCACAATTACCAGTTCGATAATCCCAAATGCGAACGGTTTTATCAACTGAACAAGTTGTTATCAAGGGCGATTCATGATGCCATTGAAGTTGAACTATTGCGTCCTTATGATATTATTATAGTATTTATAATATAATAAGTTAATAATTCACTAATACATGCATATTTATGTAAATATTCTAAAAAAAACTTACATCGTGTTGACAGGTTTGCCGAAGTCGCATTGTAGTAAGGTCCCAAATATTTAATTTATTATCAACCGAGCCTGTTGCTGCTAATGATGATCTTAAATAAAAATATTTATTAATTTAATTTTTTAAGATAAAGAGAATATTTATATTTGAAAAAAAGATATATCTTACATGTCTGAAAAGCCAACAGTTTCTATCGAGTCGGTATGATTTTCAAAAGATCCAATAATCTATATATATATATAATTAATAATAATAATGGTAATAGAGATAATAATGATTTTAGCGTTTATTGAATTGAAAATAATAATTATTATTATTATTCATACATGTCCATTTGTTAGATTGATTAATTTAGCAGAATGGTCCATAGAACCTGTGAGAACTAAACTATTTTCTTTATTGATAGCAAGTGAAGTTATTCCTTCATGATGAAATCTTGAGTCATCATCTTAAACAGTAACAACAACAACAATAATTTAATGCTATAAATATAGTTTAATCAACAACCAAACAAATATAGTCTTAAAAATATGTGATAATTTACTTGATAATTTAAAAATAGATGTGGCATTTTTTGGATCCCATACTATTAATGATGAATCCTCTGATCCTGTAACAATCTTTTTACCATCTGGAGTAAATTGACCCGCAGTAACTGATGCTGAATGTCCAGCGAATAGATTCATAAAGTTGCCTGAAGGTACTATTTAAACATTATACAAATATATTTCTAATTATGTATTTTTTTAAAAAAAACCAAAATGATAACAATGAATAATTTTATATACTTTGCCACATCCAGATTGTTGATTCAGCAGTACCAGCCAAAATAACATTGCCTTTGGGATGCCAATCCAACCACTGATCAAAAGTATATATTTATATTAGATATTATCAAAACACATATATACAAAATAATTTTATGGACATACTGTAATTTCATTTGGACCTTCTAGTGTGGCAACATGTTGACCATTCTCAACCTTCCATACCATAATTTTACCATCCATACCACCAGTTGCTACATATTGTCCATCTTTGCTAAATGACACTGAGACAACTGAATCATCGTGACCTATTATTTTATCAATCATAAATTAGATTAAAAAAAAGTATTTTCATCAAATCAAATCAAATATTATTATTAATCAAGCATTCTGACAACAACCAGAAAGTTCGTGCAACTTTTCACCAGTATCTGACCTCCACAGATAACTTTTATTATCTCCTCCTCCGGATATAATCATTTCTTCATTAATAGGGTTTATATCAACGGCATACACTGATTCTTTAAATAATTTATGATCAAGATACCAAAATTAATATTATGTTGTGACATGTATACATAAGAGATCAACTAATCAGAAAACCTTTATGATCAAAAAAGCCTTGTACTGAATCATCCAGCATTACTTCTTCAAGATTAGCAATCTCACCATCACTACCATCACCATTGTCATCATCATCCATTGGAATTTGTTCATTATCATTTTCATCAAGTAATTGTTCTTCTAAAATTTCATCATGTTCAATGAATTCAATAGCTTCTTCTTGATCAAATGATTCCTATTATTTTTATCAATGGATTGATAAATAAAAAAATTCTTTTTGGGAAACAAAAATAAATGATGTTATTTATCTTACTTGTGACATTTTTAGAAAATAAATCTTGGTGATGATTGTGTTTATTATCACATAAGATTAACTTATACTGTTACACTTGTGCATTAAATTGTCCCACCTAGTTAATTTTCTTTTTATATTTTTACAAGAATAAAAAATTTTTTACAATAATAATAATAATAATAAATTCAATAAAAAACCTTAATTATTAATAAATAAAATAAGATGAGCACAGAAGAACTTACTGAATATCAATATAAATTAGATCAAGTGAATCTTGCATTAAGAAGTGAGCCAGAAAATGCTTCATTATTAAAGCTAAAAGCTGATTTAACAGAACTTATAAAACTACTTGATCAAGAGGTAACAATTTCACCTAAAAAGTCTCCCTCTTCAATTTCACCTAGAACCAATTCTACTCCTACCACTCCAATTTCAAGCACAATGCCAACCTTCACAAAGCCACTTCAAGTGGGAGACTCTTGCCTTGCACGTTGGTCAGGAGACGGACAATTCTATCAAGCAGAAATAACAGCAATTGGAGGAGGAGATCAAGTATTTTCAGTTATATTTAAAGGGTATAATAACGTTGAACTTGTAAATGTTCAAGATATAAAACCACTAGAAAAAAATAAAAGGAAAATGTCGCTTGATAAAAAGGAAAAGGAACACAAAAAAAAAAAGGCTGGTGATGGACAGAAAAAAGTTAACGAACAGGTTCAAAAACAGAAAAGTTGGCTGGCTTTTGCTAGTAGCACTTCAACAGTACCCGGAAAAAAAGTCACAAAAACAAAAAGATTAGCTCAACCACCGATAAATAAGAAGAGTATTTTTGCTACACCTGAAAATCCTGAAGGAAAAGGTAAATAAATAATAGGATATTTTAATTTATATAAATTTTATATATTTATAACTAATATATTAAATTAATTCTATACATGTATATATATACATTAGTTGGGGTTGTTGGTAGTGGTAAACCAATGACTCACTTCCAACAACGTGGTAAACATATTTTTGACCGTGATTAGTTTAATTTCTTATGGAACTAGACATTCTTTTTATATTTTACGTATTTTACATAATTTTATATTTTACATTTTTCTTAACTCATCTATATATATATATACATATTTAATTTATGTAAAAAAAAAAAAGAGATAGAGAAAGGACTACTAAAACAGAATGAGAACATTATGAAAAGTTTCTTGAAAATTGGATTGATACTTTATAGAGCAGTAAGGAAATTTAATTTGCTCTCTATTATTTGCTCTTTATATACAGCTTTTTTGGTTTATTAAAATTTTTTTTAAACCATAACCTGGACACACACATACATGCATATACATATATATATATGTTTAATATATATATTATATATACATACATATTATATATATTATACATAATCCGAGCTAATTATTTGGTGGGTGACATCAAGGTAATGAATTAATGCTAGGTTATAATATTCCTTAACAATTTTTTACTAAAAGAACAATTTGTACAAACTGAGATTATTATTATTATTATTATTATTATTATTAATAGTTATAGTTATAACTATAATTATTATTAAAAAAAGTGCAATGAAAGAAAATTAAAAATTAAGTTTCCTTTTATTTTTTAATTTATTATTAAAAAAATTCTTGTTTACACTTTTTTAATTATTTTATTCAATTAATAAAAGTTTAGATTAATTTTTCATTGTTTAAACAGGTATTTCCTCTCTTTATCGATGGTTGTATACGATTGCAATTCGCTGTGCATTTTGAGTATAGTGAGTACACGTCCTGAACAGGTACCCATTACACCATACCACCTTGTTTTAAAAAAGATTATTGCAAAAATTAAAATTTCTGCCCCTTCAATGATCGCTCCCTATATGTCATAGTAAATATATTATTTGGAAAAATTGATAGAAAGTTCAAAAGATCTTCTTCAACGACAATGTAAAGTCTAATCTTTTCATTAACCAATCAAATAAATAGATCTTTTGATCATCATCTACGCAAAAAAAAATTAGAAAAGATATTTTTATAATGTTAACTTTCATTAAAAATTATTGTAGATATGACAAAAGATTGATAAAAATTGAACAAATTCAGAAAGTAAGGGTCGGTAATAATTTTTTCATAAAAACAAAACGATTTAATTATGGCGATGGTAAGAGATATATTGGTCACGATAGTAGCCATGGCAGTAATTTAACTATCGAAGATAAAGATTATAAAGGACTTTTTTATCATTTGATGAATAATAATTACCCAAAGAAATTTGCACTTTCTTTTCTACCTGATATTAACAAAGTAAAAAATCATGATGTTATAATTGGTTGGATACCTTATGAAAAATCTATACCGCAGCCTAAAGCTAC